GGAAGAGCTTGTAAAAAGTGGTAGCAGAGCTGGGAAGTTGCACAGACTGAGGCCACCAGGCAGCAGTAGCCAAGAGGTGATGCTGAGAAGCCCCTGCAGAGAATCATAAATTCCTCAAGAGCCTGAATTCACCCCCAAAAAACCAGAGCCAACTTTTGTCACCACGACCGTGTGTTTCTCCTTGTGCTTCCCGCTGAAGCATGACCCCGGAGCCAACCCCCAAAGCCCCCCGCGTTTCCCTGTGTGGAGAGGTCTGCTTTCTGCCAGGAAATAATTAGACATCTCAATATAAAAACGCATTTCTATTGTGTTACAGCATTCATTTGAGGTTTAATCACAGCTGTCAATGTGTTGAGTGATTAGTATTTTCATATTGAGTTATTTTACAGTCTGTAGAACAGTAAGAAATATCTTAAGGTTTAGATTATTTAGATTTTATTTATTCTAGGGGAAAGCAATGACAATGAAAATATTGTATAAATAGCGAAATATATTAAATGGTGAAACACCTACATTGAATTATAAATTGAAATGACATAATTTTAAAACATTTGAAAATCATCATCATAATTATCTTATCAACATAGAGACAGATTACCTATTATTTTAAGATAATTAATTTGAATTAACTAGTGCTCAATGCATTTATGTTGCTGTGTGTCATTATCCATCAATACAATTATGAATTGCTAAAAAAAATCTTTAAGTTATTTTAATGGCCTGTTTGTTATTTTTCTAAATCCACCCTTCATTTGTCTCCATCTCTACTTGAAATTTTTAATTACAATTTATGGGTTTTTTTTGTCTGTGCCTTAGGCCCCATTCCAGTCTCATTTGTGATGTTTCTACACCAGGGCCCTCAAGGGAGATAAGCTCTCCCTCTTCAGTGACCACAAGCCTGTAACCATACCCTTTTCTTGACGTATGCTTAGCTTTCTACTTATTAGTAATTTTTCTTTCATTTATATATACTGCTGGTGTCCTCTCTTGTAGGCATACCCCTGTTTTCTACCATTCTTTTCCTCTTTTAAACCTTGAATACTGTGTTCAGTTTTGGGCCCCTCGCTACGGGTGCTGGAGTGTGTCCAACGCTCTCCACAGCTACCTGAAAGGAGGCCATGCTGAGGTGGGGATCGGCCTCTTCTCCAGGATAACTAAAACTCGGACCAGGGGAAGTGGCCTCAAGTTGCAGGGGTTTAGGTTGGGTATTAAGAAAAAATTCTACACAGAAAGAGTGGTAAAGCATTGGACCGGGCTGCCTGGGGAAGCGGTGGAGTCCCGTGTAGAGGAGGCACTTGGGGACATGCTGTAGCAGGTACTTAGGGCCATGGTTTAGTTGACATCAAGGGCTACGGTTGGACTCAATGATCTTGACGATCTTTTCCAACCATAATAATTCTATGATTCTATCCTCCCCCATTCAGTGCAACTGAAACAATAAATGGCATGAAATTTGAGGGAGGAGGAGGCTTTTCCTATTTTACGGTGCGCTCTGCTTAGCTCAGTTCATTGCCCTCTTTCCATTGCTGCTAGGTTGTTATCAGCTCCTTGGCATCTCGGAGCTGCAAGGTGACCCCAGATGACGGGAGGGTGGAAGGAACCTATGTGTGAAGATAAAAGTCTACACAGATCCCATCACACATAAGTGTCTGTCTCGAGGACAGCATCTAGGCCACGGCTGTCCAACACGGTGCCCGGAAATGCCTGTCCAAGAGTCTCTGATGAAACTTGACTTTTTTATGCCTCTGATTTTTTTTCCCCCTTTTTCTCCCATGATTGACATTTGTCTTTTCTGGGCCTTGTTTGCTTGCACTGCACTTGCAGGGAGCCTGAAGCGGTGCAGCATTTTCATTTCAGTCAGGTTAAGGGTGATGAAGATTACACATACATACTGATTTATGCCTTAAAGGCTGCATATAGTGTCAAGTGTGATCTCAGCAGATCTCTGCTCGATGACTCAAGTTCTCAGGACAGTGTTACACTCTCAGACATCAATCCTCATCCAGGAAAATGAAAACTATGTCTCTGTCTAGAATATCGCTCAATAAAGTCCTGATCTGTGTTATTTGTTATTAATAAGATAATAAAGACATGTTTAACATTTGTGCCAAAGCCAGAACTGAGTCATTTTCGGCTAAGTACTGCTGAAACATAAAGCAATGAACAGTGTCAGCCTCCAAGAGCTTTCAGTTTAAATGTGCGGTTGATATGTGGTATCACTATTCGGCATATTCTTGTGTGCTTCTGGGAACACTTCAGTGCAGATGTCTTATGCAATGACATGATATAACTGCAAACCCAATGGTTTTTAAACATTGCATTTGGACATGCCGTATGCCTGGAGTTCTTCACAAATAGCAGTGCACCCCAAGGTGGATACCATCCCAAGAATGTAAGGTGGTTTCTCTATTTTTTTAAAAAAATCTGCATCAGGATGAAGCCAGTGTCTATTTCCCAACACAGATGCACATTATCAGACTCTGTATGTTCCTATGAAAAGTGTTCACTTGGACCCTCCTGCTCAACCTCAGTGGAAAAAGTCAGACAATTCCCTGTCGAGCTGTATTTGTAGTATTCTGGGAAATACCAGAGATGGGCAGAAAAATGTGAGTGCAGTCCAAGACTGAGCACTTCTCTTCCAAGTGCTTTCAGCCCTTGCCAGCATAAGGAAGCCGTTCAGTTTGCTCCTGACCAAGTGCTTTTTAGAAGACAGCTGGAAGAAATGATGGAAGGGATGGAGGGAATTTCTCTTTTAGGTGCCAGCTGCAGTGGTACCGTTAACTCAAAATCTTCTCCCCTATGTTAATACTTCCCTTTAATAGCACCCAAGTGAACCATTTAATAAATGTTTCTAAAAGAGATGGTAATACACCAAACGCTTCATATCCTAATCAGAAGCAAAACCACAGACCAGACCTTGTATCCATTAAATATTGTTACCTCGACACCTAGTCAAGAACAGTGAGCACAACAGGGAGGACAGTTGCAATGTAGTTATGGTGCTCTATTTGTCTTGGCAGTGGAAGGGGTCACGTAGCCTGCCTAGCTGTCATTATAGGCCCTTGGATAAGTGAAAAATCACTTTAGCATAACAGCACAATGCCCGCTGCTTTCTAAGCACGTCAAGTAGGCTTGTGTTCTAAATAAAAAGGCATTACGCTGAGTGAAAAATAGACTAAAATAAGTTAGGGTAAGCTCCAAAGTACAGCTTGGAGTGCAAGTTTAATAGGTGAAAGACAAGCAGGCAGCCACTCTCCGTGTCAGCTTTGGAAATGGGTCACAGTGTTCTGGGAAGAGTAAAGTAAGTCGAAAGTCAGCTTTCAAATCTATAGTCCTGTCTGTACTGTGGAAAAAAAATAGATTCAGGTTGATTAATCTCATTCTTAGCTGCAATTTCTTCTGGATATATTCCCAAAACAGTCTCAGCAGTGCTGACCATATTCCTATTTCTGTGTATACTTTACAGGTACTGGCTACATATTTATGCTACCATAGTATCACCTACATTTCCAACAAATCATAGAATAATCATAGAATCAATTAAGTGGGATTTGGTTATGTGCGTGCGTGTTTTGTTTTTTTTTTCTTTTGGGGTTTCTGAATGAACTTTGAAAATCATATTGATACTCATGGTTCAATACACACTTCTTGGAGTTTTTCTGTTTCTTTCTTCTTTGGTATTTTCATCTATTAATCAACTTTTGTATCTAAAACTTGGATTAAAATCTACCTGCAGCCTCAAGGAAAGATAAATTTGATCTTTGCAGCTAGTGCCAGGGCTGACATGCAGCCAAAGAAAGTTTGCCGTTTTTAAAGGCCAGACCAAGCAATGTCACCTTTTGTGCCTTATCTTGCCCCCCAAAATAGCCCCATGTCTCTGTTACATTGGTTTGCCAAAATGGGTCAACACAAATGTCGAGCAGATGCCACTTTCTGAGGAAAATAAACCTTCAGCTGTGCCACAAATTCTGGGCCTGGCTCTGCTCAAGCCTCACCCTACAAAAGAGGAGTCATCTTATGAAAAAGTTTTCCCCAACCATTACATATGAGGCATGCTGCCACCCCATGAGGAACTTTTAGGTCTACATCCCAAAACACACTCCGTAGAGTGGTTTTCCAGTAACTTCAGTGGGTATCAGTGTCTTCCTGGCCCAGACACCCTGTCTGTGACATGGTTTCTGTCAGTGAAATGAGTATTTGAATCTTGAGGTGTGACTGAAAGCGACTGTCAGAAAAGCAGCCCAGGGGAGCAGGGCTGGTAAAAGGTGCTGCTGCGGCAGTGCCTGGCCCATCACGGGGTGCCACCGGCCAGGTGGAAAGCTTTTAACTTGAGGAAGGAAAGCTTTAAGAGAAGACAAGGGCCCCGCGGCCGCAGGGCCAGGGCTGCCCCGGGCACTGCAGACTGAGCGCGGGCTGGAACAGCGGGGGAGGCACCAGGCGACCGGCCCCGAGCTCGTGGGGC